GAAACCCGGTTTCTAGCATTGTAAGTCCGCAGACATAACGCTGTGCCAGGAAAAAAAAAAAAGAAAAAAGGTTACATACATAAATTATAATTAGTGAAATCAATACAACAACACATTTACAAAAAAAACACTTTAAATAGAAATACAATTATTACTAACTTAAAGAAAGCTATTAAAAATGGAAAATATAGATTTTACTTGTTCTAGCTTGCCATTTTTAAATGCAATTCCAGAATTGCATAAAACTGCTGTTAAGTTCAGATTTATTACAAACTCCTTAAACACAGTCACTAAATTGGTTTCTATTATACTCAATAACATTCTAAATGTTATATTTGAAAAAATAAAGTTACTGTCATCAAATAACTTGAACCACTACTTTTGGATCATTAAAAATAATATTCCAGTTTTGGAATATTTAACTAACTTAAATTATTTAGAAACAGCCAACTCTGTTACTAATTATGAGTTTTACTACATCACATATATATATATAACATAAAAAATCTGTCAGTTCGTCCAAGATCTCTGGGTCAATCTCAACCAAAGTGTTGAGGGAAGGCAATGAAAAAAAATGGGCATCACTATTGCAATAATACATAAACTCAGCTGTTGTTTCTACTCCAACAACCACCATAAGGTTGATATAAAGAGCCATTTCTTGAGTTATAACCACTTCCTACTTTGACCCGTGATCTTTCAACATTGGCTCACAAAACATTTCTACAGCCAATGAATGTCTATTAATTAATCATGTGAAACACTGTGGAAGGACATGAAGATCTGGGTGTTGAAAGCAGGTAACAGAAAGCACTCCTACCACCACTTCTTTGGCCATTACCTCGTCCTACAAAGTCACCTTGACCATCTCACAGTGTATACCATGTTTTAAGTATATACATATCGAGTTCTTAAAGTTTATACAAAATTTTTGGTGAGGTGATAATGAACACTGTAATAATATGTTACATTTTAAATACATTTTGTGAAAATTAGATTTTTGTGTTATTTATCATAGCATCCACCCCTACATTTATTTAGATTCATAACTCAGCTTGTACTAAAATATATCTGAAAAATTTAGTCAGGGTTTTTAATGATCTACTTTATAAATTTCTAGATACAGAAATAATTATTCCAAAATTTAAATTTATTAAGTATCAATGCAAAAATATACTTAATTTTTTTATTTATAATAATTATATAACTTTCAATGAACAAGTATATTGGAAAACAGTGGGTATCTCAATGGGTGCTAATTTCTCTTCGAACATGGCTAACTCGTATCTGTTCTTCTATGCATATTCATTTTTGAAACGGGTATCAAGCTCTAATTAATTATCTATACTTTTTGTTACAGAGGTGATTTAATCTCGTATCAAGAACTTGAATTTTAAACCAAATATACCCATAGGTACAACAACAACTTGAAAGTTATTTTGATCTAAGATTGTCCAGGGTTGAACTGGAAACCTCGGGAGATAACCAGGGGAGCTCAGAAAGTGGATGTTTCTCTTTGCCCTGCACACAGTAAAAGAGTAAGGCTGTTGTTGGAAGATCATACAAATTGGGCAGAAGTAAAAAGATTTTATACTTAGCTGGCAAGTGATTGACTTTTGGTTGGAAAGGTTGAGCCAGAAGAAGGTTGGAGAAAGTAGGCGCAACTTGATGAAGTGAGCATTCATAAACAGATTTCTTCTTAACTTGTTTGAGAAAAACCAACAGCCCCTATCAAACTTATGGTCCTTAAGGGAGCCAGGGGATCTATAAATCAAATACTGGAAACTTTGCTTATGTGTGTGGGGGGAGGGTGGAGAAGTGCTCCAAGAAAACCTACTTTCACTGTTCAGGCACCAAATATTCTCCATGACGAATGCTAAATGAAATCAGAAAACAAATAAAGCAAGGTGGAATTAGAATAGAAACAAAGAGTAATAGGTGGGACAGGAATTATCAGAGTTATTTTGTTAGTTCATTAGGGTCTTCTACTTGAGAAAATGTCGGAATGGTGGACTTGGGCTGAAGGGAGCTCTGATTATTCCATGGTGGTTGTCTGGGTTTCTTGGTCTGTGGAGGGTGTTATGTAAAATTGGCATGGAAGAAGTAAAATAATCATGTCTGCAGTTTGCCTGGGAGTGGTTTGTATTTTCATGAAGTGTGATGGTTTTCCGCTTCTCTTTGAAATGATTCTGTGGACTGTGTGAATTCTTGAGTGTGTGTCTTGTTCAAGTGCATTGAGAATTTCATTTGTGATTATGGTTTGGTCCACGTTGCACAGGAAGATTATATGAAGGCTGGTGTTGTTCTTAGAAGTTTGATATATAATGGGCAGATTGGAGTTCCATGGTTGGCATAAGGAGCTTCAATCTTTGGGAGTCTTAGGTTGTAAGAGGATTCTATCTCTACATACTTTTTTCGTGGTCTTGGGAGTTAGATGGACTTTGGGCATGTATCTGTGTAGAAAGTCCACAACTTGTTAGGGTGAGTAGTCATTGGGTAATCTGTGAATAATGATTGGTGGCATAGACACTGTCTAACAGGTCTTTACTGTCTGAAGTCTCAGCAGCAAATCCAAAAGAAGCTTAATAGAAAGAAGCAATAGTACTGATATTCATGCACATTACACTACTCAGACATTAATTTTGTAGAAGGCAGAGTATATTTGATTATTTTTGACAAAAGTAGGGAAATTAATATTCCCATCCTTGGTCTACCCATTCCATATATACTGCTAAAAGGAATTATCATATCTAAATGTAATAGATTTTTTAACAATAGCAATTCTTTTATGGATAATGTTCAGTTATTCATATATAAATTGAAAAATAATGGTTATAATCACTGCAAATAAAAAATATGTTTACATTCTTTTATAGTAAATATGAAATTATATTAAAAGTAAACTGTTGATTATATAAACTACCTTGTGGAGAACACAGAAGTCATTAGTCACTCAGATTCATCCTTGGCTTATAAGTAACTAGCTTTAAATTATTTAAGTATTTTGTTCAGTATACTGGGAAAGAAAGACCAACTTCAGATAGCTGGGCTCATCTCACCCAGTTTATACTTGAACAAATTTTCAAGAGAAAGGTAGGAGTATGGAGAACCAAGAACTATTAAAGTAAGAATTTTAGTTCTGTTTAACATCATTTTGTAATCATTAAATAAATGAGTGGAGGTTGGGAGGTTTACACTGTAGAAAGTTAGGGTGGTTTATTTCTACTTTATGGTTGTATCTATATATTAAGAGTAAGTGACTTCCCACAACTGGCTGCAGATAGCAAAAGGCAGTAGGAGTTGAGATGTTGTGGGTTCAAGCACTCAACTCCTAACACTTAACTGATTTTCCTTAGTTACTGACTAGTTTGACATCAGTACCTGGATTTTGTCTGACAGATGGAATATCCCCAACACGTTTGGGTGCTATTATCCTTTATGAGTTTTAATGATTACAACAAGGAATGGTAATGGAAAAATTAATTTTGATTTACGAGTCTCTTTATAATGTTTTTGATTTATATTAATTTCATCAATATTATTTTATAGTGTTGATTAGAAAATTGCCTGTTTACAATAAATGTAGTTGATAGCTTTAGTTCTACTGACTTATTTACATACACACACACACACACACACACAGATAAATGTGTATGTGTGTAAATACAGGCTTAGCTGCAGGTTGACGCAATGGTTGCCCAACTGGTGTATCATCTTTTTTCTGTCCTCTACTCCATCCTCTTCCTCTGCCAGCCATTTTCCATATGTCTGAAACAGTTGGACAAAATATATTTTGAGAAACATAATTTTTAAGAAAACAATATCTTACATTAAAATACATCTACGAATACTACTTTATTATAGGTTATATAATATATATCAGTCTTTTGACTCATAATTGCATCAAAGACAACCCCTCTCCCAACTTTCCTCAATAAACAGAAAACTATTTACTATATCCAGCCTTGATATCTCAGATACTCATCAGTCTTTTTCTTAAAGTCCTGTGAAGTTGCAGCATTTACCACATTAGATGGCAATTTGTTCCACATACTTTCCACCATACTGGAGAAATGAAACAACCTCCACTAGAGATGTGCAAGACCTTTGCAAACAATAACTAATTTTTACTAAATAGACATACCATATCCAACAATTTTGAAATAGCTGTACTATGATAGCTAGTAAGAATAGAAGGAAGAAACTTCCATGTGGTGGTATTGACTTCCTTCATATTTCTAGTCCTGTGGGTATATGGCAGGTTGTAGTCATTTGTAAATGTTCAATGTCATGTTTTCTCTTCAAATCAATGTTTAACCACAAAATCAGGTTCAGCTTTGGTGTGAAACTCATGTCAATTTTGTTGAGTAAATCTTTTTTGTAAGGCTCTTTTGTAACCAGATTTTGAAACTGTAATGTCACACTTAAGTTGTGTTAGAGAGCAACTCCAATGTTCTCTTCAACATATTGTACATATATCTTTGGTCATAAATTAATTAAAACTTCAACACCAATTATCATTAATGAAAAAACAAAACTACTATAAATGATGACAAGACACTTCTTGAATTGGGAAAGAATATACAGAATCACTTATTCAGTGTTTGGTACTAATACTACTACCAGGAATGATTTATTTATATCTTTCATATGGTGAAGCCTATAAATGTTTCCACGTGCTTTTTTTAGTGTGTGTGTGTGTGGGGGGGGGGCGAATATTCTACTACCAACTTACTCCAACTAACTCTACTAGTATTATTAGAATGGCTGATAAATGTATCAACTTACACATGCCCTTTTCAGATTTGTGCATCAGCCCATATGAAATATAATTTTCTTCAATATTTCAAAAAATACTATAATAAAATCAATAAATCATACTAATGCAAATATAGACTTATGTGCCTGAGTTGACTATATTTTTGCATCAAAACAAGTATGAGAAACCTAAACCTCAATATCTAATGAATACACAATCCAAAAAAAATGTGACTCTTGGCAGTTTTACACAACATTTGTCTTCAAATTGCATTTCAGACCAGTACTGCACTTCTACACTTGTGCAAAAACCATCATGAAGAAATATGTGGGATTGATGTTCCAATTTGGTTGTAAATTGGAAATGCAGAATACAATTTCTATTTTATGTCAAATAAGATGGCAATGTTTGAAAAAGCTATTTAACAAATAAAAGTGACTTAGACATAAGCAATAAAGAAATAGTTGGAACTATTGAAGCCACTTGTTATAATACAACATACTTTTGCAATTTTGTGCCAACTAATAATGAATAAGGTCATTGTATTTTGCGTTGCTTACTAACAATATAAAAATTGATCTTTCCACAACCATTATGCAAAATTCTAATTGCTTCTGTATTGCCTAATAAGTTATGCCTAACTCCCTTTTCACTTGTAGAATGGCTTTTGTAAATATCATCTTGTTTGACATAAAACAGAATGGTGTTTTGTTTCTAATTTGCAACCAGCTTCATACTTCATTCCCACAAGTAATTTCCTGTACATTTTGTGACATTTTTTGTACATATCCAGTAGTGAAGCACTAGTATATGATGTTTTCAAATATTATTCAATGCTCAAATAAGGGGCATACCAGGGTAATTCCTGACCAAAATTCAGCCATTTATAGCCTTAAAAAACATTCAGTTGTTTTTACTGCTTTGGAAAAATGAATATGGTTCCTGTTACTTTAATGGGTGCATTCTTGTAGCTTTCTGCAGTTTTGAACAAGATCTGCACAGTTCACGAAGTAGAGCTGCAAAAATAAGCACTCTAACAACCAGTAGTTTCTATTGGTGCACTCGTAAATGATCCATTTATTTCATACCCAATTATTGTCTGGTTTGTGTGAAAATAATGATGTTAGATCTTCCCTCTTTTCTTTTATTTAAAAAAAAAACACTTTGATGTAACTGCAGTAGAATATGGAGTAATGTGCACTGTGTCATGTCTGCTGGAAAACCACACAGCATTTTGAACTATTTCAAGCCACTTGACAGAAATGTAGATTCTGCTGAAAAAAATCTGTGAAAATATTATTGACATGGTTCTACTAAATGTTAAAAAAATCATAACTACCAAAAATTAAAATCACACTGGGCTCTCACTCACAAAAAGAACAAGTGATGACTGGAAAGCCAAATTCAGTTGGCTTGTAACTGATTTGACAGAGAATGTGAATAGATTTTGGCTTTGTAGAGTGACAAACAGACAAGATTTCACTGCACAACCTGCATAGAACCTAAACTCAACAATTCATTTGCTAAGGGAGGTTCAAGTTTGTGTTTCTTCTCTCCCTTTTTAGTGAGACTGCTAAAGTTTGTTGTAATCTCTAATCTAAATCACCTTAATAATATATTAACAAACTATTAAATGAACTGCATAGGCATTCTTGACAAATTAAGAAAACTTTTTTTAATTTAAGTAAAATTCAGCAGTTAAAAAAATTTGAATTTTGTATCATGTTTAGCTAACTTCCCAAAGTTAACAGTGTACAGAAGTTTCAAAATATAACACCAAACTGGATTGAAAATGAAATAAAACTAATGTATTTTATTCCACAGAAATGTTGTAAATTTAAAGTGGAAAGACTAGAGCAAACATAACATGCACATTTATTATTAAAAGACACTAAATTACAAGTGGAGCCTTAGCTTGTTTATTTATTATTTTTATTTATACTTGCACAAGCAAGCTTTTAATGTAATACTGTATCACAAATTTAATTTAGTGGCATTCCGTTAGTTCCTGTACATATTTGAGCCTAAACCAGATAAGTTTTAATGGACCAGCAGCCTAGCATCATATTTGAGAGTGCAGAAAATATTGAAGAAACACAGTGTTTGTGGCTATGAGAATAATAATAATACTTTAGATTTATTAAGCATTTCCATCTCCAAGGGACAGATATTCATTGCATTCAACATTCATACATATTATTTATATTTGCCAAGGTTACTGGGCTTGTACTGTGTAGTGCATTACTTTCTCTCTTTATGTTCTCGTATAGTGTAAATTAATTGTGGAATAACTTATAACAAACATTTAATTACTGAAACAATCATCATACATCTTGGGTAGTGTTGCTATTGTAACATTGAATTTAAATTGTATGGCTCTCCTTTTTCAGTAAAAATACAGCTATCCACACTGATGAAACAATGCCAGTAAAGAACACATTGCAGCTGAAAAGAAACATCTTCACAGAAAAGCTCAGACCAATGATCTTATTTGTGACAAAGATCACCTGAACCTGCCACTGTAGATGAACTGATTTTGTTTTGGACTGCATACAGGGCAACCAAGGTGGGTGTCGCAACATACAAAATCAATAGCCTGTTATGTCTTCAGAAGATAAATGGGCTGGGCATTTGTTTTTGAAACATGAGCTGGGATTCAATAAATGGCATTAGGTGTAGCTTAGCGAGTCTCATAAATGCAGACTTACAGAAAGAGTTAAAGAATAGTCATCTGTTTCGATGAATTGTGGATGAGACGACAAATTTGGCAGTGCAGAAAAATTTGGTTGTTTACTTGCTCTATGTATGTCGAGGAGAAGCTGTGACAAAGTTTTTTAGCAAATATCAGAATGTCAGACAGCAAGGCAAATACAATTGTGGAAGAAGTGGTTGACAACTTAAAATCACTTGACATAGATTTACACAATTTGTAAATGGTGGATGCATGAGGAAGTGTAGAGAAAATGGGGTCAGAGTCAAGCTCATAAGGGAAATTTCAACTTTTCTTGTGCATTGACACACAAACTTGCATTGGCTTGTGAGGCAACAGCAAAAGCTGTCTCGTTTATTTCTACACACTGTATTATAATTGCTCTGGCTCTTTTGTTAGGTACACAAAGTTACAGGAAGTTCAAAATCTGATGGGTGAAGTTAAACTAAGGTTGAAAGAACTGATTACAGTGCAGGAGCTCAGCAGTGGAAATGCTGTGTGTGTTAAACAGGTACTACTCCTCAATTCTTCTTACCATGTCTCAATTATCCTCTGGTGGGAACCTAGTGGCACAGTCCCTATAAGCTTACTTTTATGACTTTAAGATTGCACTGGTCACTTCCTTTATGCTGGATGTGCATGACAAAGTAGCTATGCTGTGCAAACACTTCCAAAATAAGCCCTTAGACTTTGGAGAGATTATGCTAATGGTAGAGGAATGTGTGTCAGAGCTAGATACTTTAAAGCAGTGGTTCCCAATGTTTTCACCATCAAGAACCCCTTTTATGATTTTTTTCCCCCATAGACCCCATGTTTTTGAAAGATTCCATCTACCAAACAAACTGTTTTTATTAACTAATAATTAACTTGTTTTACCATTTTTTCACTATCAAATAAAAGACACATGTAAATGCATGTGCAATTAAAAAAACAACAATATTAGAAAACTTACTTATTTTATGAGATGGTATTACTCTTGCAGACCCTCATTGGTCCTGTGATCCCAGGTCAGGATCCACTGCCTTAAAGTAACCAGATGGCCATTACATGACAGAATTTAGAAATGAAGTGTCTGTGGGTGTAACTAATGAAAGGTGAGCAAATTTAGAATTTCTAAAACTGAGCTACTGAATTACAGTGACAGAGAGAGAATTTGTCTGTGAAGGTGCAGTACATTGATTCTCTGAAAGAATGCATCCTTTAGCAAGCAAATGCTGACCCCTCTATAGTAATTTTGCTTAATAATTTTGGCACTGTCCTTGATTCAGCATCCTTCTCCTGTTCAGAAAGGAGCACAAAATAAAAGATGCTTTGGAATGGTTGTGGACAAATTTGGAGTGCAAAGGAAAACAAACACAACAATGTGATCTTCTTATAAATGGCAACAACCCAAACTTAGAGTGGTAAATGGTATGTTGAATGGAAGCTACAGGAAAATGACAAGTCCCAATTTCTGTAAAAGAATCCTAAGTTTACATTCATACAATTCTACCAAATTTTGCACTCTTTTGTGAAATTGCACTTTGCATGTGCCTCACAAGTGTTGTGTGTGAAAGAGGGTTTAGTACCAAAAACAAAATAAAAACAAAATCTTGATGTTCTTTGTCAACAGACAAATTAAATATATTACTGGGAATTGTTTTCCTAGGTCCAGTACCAGGGGCATACAACTTTAACAATGCTTTTACCCACTGGTTGCAAGAAAAATGTATATAAGAGAGAAGCAAGATTGTTTCATCTGTACAAAATCAGAAAAACCAAAAACAATAGATCTGTACACCATAGTATCTTAAGACAGTAACATCACTGTTGTTACTAAACCAAAGTCTGTTGGCTATCAAAACATTTTGAATTATTATTATTTTTTAAATTAATCTTTTGAGTTGAATGTTTATTATAATTTCTCTAAGTAGTGTTTAACTTCATATTTTCTAAAAGTGCTCAAGTGACCAATAAAAGAAAAAGCAGGCACAGTATTAAAACATCAGTTTAACACATAGGCCTATATGTTTTATGCACAAACCCTTAACTTCTGATTTTCTTAAAGTATTTTTTTTTGCCTGATTAGCAGGTGAAAGAAAAACATGCACCTTTATACTTTAAATTTAATAGACCTATAAATTTTGTGTAAAAAAAAAAAGAAAAAGTTGTAATGTCATTATATATGTATTTATTATGACTTCATCTGGTAATTTGCTAAATTTCAACTTTTTAAATAATAAAAATTCATAATTACTTAATTACTTTTTATCACAAAATGTTACTACTGCACTTTGTATAAAATTCAAAATTACTCCTGCTTACAGAATTTTGGAAGTGATTACTCCTTACAGAAAAAAGTTATCTGGAGCACTGTTATTTCAATGCATTATGCAACTCACTATTCAGATAGTGCAATACTTGATACTGGGGTTTAACTTCCTTACTTTAAGTTTTTCAGACTTCTTGTTTCATTGCAAAAACATAACCAACACGGATGAACAAGTTTATACATTATATTTGTGTTACAGATGGAGATGTGTTTTTTTACATTCATTTTAGTATTTCTTGCAATATTGGATGAAATTGCATATTTAGATGCATTTGAAATAGATGTTGATATTTGTGTGTTTGACAAAGTTTTCACTCTTTACCCATCTCAGGCATGATAAGTTTATCACAGTTAGCAACTTGGTTTTAAATTTTGAATTAGGAGTACTTCCTTTATCCTTATTGTCCATTTGTCTTTTGCCAAGTCTATTATTTTGAAGTGTTTAATGTTAGGTTTCTAGTTACAGTCTTTTCTTAGATGGTTGTAAATTTCAGAGTTGTTGGAAGGGCTGTTTTGTGCATGCTCCTTAATTCTGGTAACTAAGATTCAGGTCAATGACCCAAGGTAGACATGCTTGCAGCAATGTTTTTGAAGGAGGTATTTTGTCTTTAAACAGGAAAAAGTTAATTATTCATTTGTTCGGTTTGAATATCACTCCTGGGCTGACTTGAGGATAAGTTGATTGCAGCATTTTTTTATTTTCCTTTTTAAGTTTGATGCCTTGAAATTGTCTTAGCAGTGGGTTCTCACACAAATCTGAATACAAAATACTGAATTGAACAGGGCATCTGTAGGGTTAACATACTTATTAATCCTACTATTAGTACCATTAATGATTAACTAGAGAGCTAACTCAAAACCATAACAAAAAATCCCTTTTTCCTGCAAACTATAATTAACTTTCAACTCTTTCTCTCTGAAAATACTCATCCAGTTTCCAAGTTAAACTCCTTCAAAGTTCAATTCAATGTTGCGTTTTATTCCACACCATTAGTATACTACTACTAGATATCTCAGTAACTTGCTAAGTAAGATGACTGATCTAATTTTTAGTTTAACGGGCTGTGCCTAAAATTAAAACAACGGACATGAATTTTTAGAGGTACCAGTATCACAATCAGTAACATAATTACTATTAATTTTTTTAAACCTTATTCTTAGGCTTGATTTCGTAACTGTTGACCTTATTACAAATACAATATAACTCAAATGTTGGTCTACATACCTTTTTAACAATTTCGCATTACCATTACACCATCTCCTGATACTGTGATAGTTAAACTAAAATGTATTAATTTAACAAACGAAATTTCCGTAGAAGATCTAACGCTACACCTGCCATCAAGCGTCATATAGCGACATCTTTCGGTTGAGCGAAGGTGATATAATAATGTTGATAATTAAGCACTTTCTTCTTTTTGTTGTTGTTTGTTTTAAAGCACAAAGCTACCCGAAGGACTACCTGTGCTTTGCACACCACGGATATTGAAACCCGGTTTATAATGGTGTAAGTCTGCAGATATGCCGCTGTGCCAGTAGGGACATTCTTCTTTGAGATGCCCAACGAATATTCTAATATCAAACAGTTGTGTATATTAACCTTTATTAAGCCGTAAAGGCGAAACATTGGTTAAAACAAAAATGTTCTTATATATATATATATCTGGAGTATAAAGGTAATTTTTTCTAAACTTTTTATCAAAATGTTGATAATTAAAGTTCTGAATTAAATGTAACGTTTTGAAATTTTTCGTATCTTAACTTGTATAAGTAAACGAATTACGGATATTGCTTCACGACTAAATTTCGAGTTTTCATTGGAAAAATGACAATCGTATATTTTAAACGTATTTATTTTATAAGCCTTATTTCGTCTTTTTTCGCGTAACCGAAAGATATCGCTGAATTCCGGTGTGCCATAATAACCTTTTCTCCGTTTTAAGTGGCAAAAGGCATAGATATAAATAACAATATCCTGGAAGTTGCGTGGTTTTTGACGTGCGGAAGCGGTCGCCATTGCAACGTGTTGAACTTTCAAAGTCCGCCAGTTGAACTTACAATGGCAAAGCAATCTCATCTCCCAATTTATGGCCGTTTTCCATCTAAACCAGACATTTGGATAATTTTGTTATTTTATTCTAATAAATTTGTAAGGCTAAGATGAACTAAACCTGATTCTAACTTACAAATTAGTGCAAAAATCGTTCACAAAACAGACATATCTGATCTGTCATATGAAGAATGCATTGGATTTTAGCCAAAAGGGAAATCTTAAAATTAAAATCTGTCCGTCTCTATCTCTGTCTGCAATTCAACTACATTGTTGCCGTCGCTTCTTGGCGGTCTTATATACAAGAATACCGAAAATCTAGTAAACACTCGAGGCTTTACGAAGGGACATGATTTTTCTAGAAGTTTGTGACGTGTTACTAGAGTCACGTGACTTTCGCTGTAGTAACATGCTAAAATTCTTCTCATTAGAACAGTGGCTTTCAAGATCACCCTGCCATATTCGTAACCATTTTGTGCTTGTCATAATTTTCATGCTATAACTTTTAAATTAGTAAGCGAATGTTAACGAAATTTGGCAGATTATCAGTAAACATTACAATGCTTTCATACGCAAAATATCCGTTTCTTTTTTATTAAGTCTTAAGGTTTATAAAGCAATGATTTTCTCATGTCTATTTTTTCTTATTCGCATGCTGTCTATCTATCATGCAAAGTAATATTCATTTTAAGATTAAAAATATATTTATGCATTAGAAAATTTTGAAATTTCACATGCGAAATCTTTATAATGTCTAGATAGTTATCAAACGTTTCTTAAGAAAAACTTTATATTTTATCTGTTATTTTCAGTAACTAATCTCTGTACTGGTTTGGTAGATTTAACCGATCTCGCAACCACCATAAAAAGTAGGATATAAATATAAGTTATGCCTCTTTCATTCTAGAATAAACACAAATTATAAGACGAAAACATAAACGTTTAGACTAAATAGCTTAAATCTTATAACATTATACATACATATATATATTTATTATATTGACCTTTCAGCCGTGCCTGGCTAAAAGTACAGAAGTGACAATGACGCTGCTCACGTGCATTCATGCTACCTATCAAATAACATAAAACTGACCTTTGGTCTGTGCAAAGTAACTTGTCTTGACGGTGTTTTAGTAGACTAGTATTTTGTAAAATACAGTCACATTTCAATTATTATACATTATGTATGTATATCGATTATTGCTATTTTGAAATAAGTTCTTAAACATGTTTCCCCTAAAATATAGAACAGTAAATAAAGAAGTAAAGCAAACAATTATATCTTCTAGTTACGACCTTTGTACTCGGTTGCTGAGCGTTTAAAAATTTGGTACGAGGAGGAAACGGAACAAAATATTTTTTTGTAGATTTTATATATACTTTTGCATAACTAAGAAAATCATAAATTACTACCATAGACTTCCACTATAAATTATAAAGCTTCGTAACTAAGATGTATTTTAGTCTAAAAAATATGAAATTTCGAGCACACTAAAGCTACACCTTACCTTCGTTCAAAAGTACGGAATGGCGCCAAATCCGTTAAAATGGTTGAGAAAGCCACTAGGGGGACATCCTGAGCTTCCGATTGTTTATTCGTGTCATATATAAAACATAAGTTAGGGAGCATTCTCAAAGATGGAAAGAGTAGGCGGGGTGCCACTATTTTTGATTTATTACATGAGTAATATCTTAGCAAATTGAAAAGATAAGAAGCCCTTATTTTATATTCTAGCCTGTCAAAATCAGTAATTTGAGTTTCTAATTCGTTCGAAACTATACACTTTGTATTTTGACTTCACAAACATCTAATTAGAACCAGTGCTACATTCAACATACCACGTGAACACAAAAATCGTCGATGTTTATCTGTGTTTTTTTAATATTTGCTTTCAAATTAAGAAATTGGGTAATATATAGTACTAAAATATGAATTATAATTTACAGTTTAATAACAAACTTATTGACATAAATGTATGAAATAGTAGTTCAATAAAATTTTGAATGTGAGTCAACAAACGAGATGACATGGCCTTTCACCCATAACCCGTCTCCAAAGGGTTAAGACCAAATATCATTCCCCATAGCTGGATTCACCTTTGAATGTCGACATAACAAGGTCAGATTACTAAATTATGCAAAAAAATTATTTTACATGAAAATCATATATTATAGGTGTAGTACAAGACATGTGCAGATTAAAGCACGAAAATAGTCTTTACATTTGATCTGATTTATTAATGATGACTTGAGAAAAATATGACAAGTTATGAAATTACAAATTATATAAACTTTCACGTGCAAATAAAGTTGTAAGTTTTAACTAGGTCAACTTTATGAATATATACTTAAATAATTAAAAACAAATGAGACGTGCCTCTTTTCATTAGTCTGGCGTTGTCCAATCTGCATACCACAACGTATGTCCAATATTTGCTGTAAGTACTTGTTTGTCTTGCTCTACCATGTACCCACCTAAATTTTCCTGGCCAGTACATTTTCCCCTCATGGACACTTCTATACAGTGCATAATGGTCCTTTTTCAATTTGTGTAAATTTGCAGTTGTGCAATAAATTTAGTCTAACAGGATTTATAATAGGAAATCAAAAGATTAAAATATAAATCCTATTTTCCCTCAATACCTAATTTTTTTTTCTCAGAAAACGCTCATGTATGCAACAGAGTAATTTCACAAATATTACAAACATGATTAAATAGAGAAATACCAACGACATACACCTGACTTTTCCATCTAGGTACAGTATAATATAGTGGATTAGTTTCGAGAACACTGTAATATAACAATTTAATTACATTTTATCTGTGTGTTAGTATGGAAATCAAATTTGAAAATTACGTCTCAGATGTCTAATCTCTTTCGTTTTCAGAAACGGAGGAAAATCTCTGACTTTATTATAAAATATACAATATACCATTGTACTTCCTTTAAAATAGTTACAGATCGTTCCTGAATGTAGATATCAACTGTGATGAGAAAACTATATTTACGTCATACTTTTTTGTCGAAATAATAACTTTGCAGCTTTAAGTTGTTGTGTCGTCTAGTTCACACAAGCTTTATTTAAGACGATGCGGATTCTGGAGTATTTATTCACTTATCGGATTTTAATCTAAAAGTTTATGTTAACAGAAAATAAAAATTATCCTTTCATTAGTCCCTCCGCTACGGTGACCCAGTGGGTTTCGGGTTTCGATATCCGCGATGGGCACAACAGAGATACAGCATTGGAAGCTTTTTGCTAACGACAAATAAACTTTGCTCATTAGCACAATTTAAAAATAAATTTAAGTCTGTGATAGACTCGTTAAATTTGTTTGGGTGATACCTGATCATAATGGTTACTATACTCACAGTAATAAGTGAACAATAAAGAAAACGGACTGCTCTCCTAGATAGCCTAATAGTAAAGCACTGACCCCGGAGTCTATTTTCACCTATCAGCTTTTCCATGTAAAAGTTTACGTTAAACCTACCCTCCATTGTTAGCTAGCGGAATTTAAAACAATTAAGTACATAGTAAAAGCCTTAACTATACTAAACTAAATAATGTTCAAATGTATTAATTAACAATGCTATATCAATAACAAATATTTCTGTTTCTACAATATTTGAGCAATAATCAATCACTTAAAGGTGCATAAGACACGTGGTGGTATCGGTAAGAAGGTCTTCCACAAAAATTAGTACTGTGACGAGTTAGAGAATGTTTCACGTTTAAAAGAATTACTCGATGGCTTAAAACTAATTTTATTTTTGAACTAAAATTGTGTCTAAATCTATCATAGTTATTTTTTCCTTTTTGGTTTGTTACGTATTACAATTAAAAAATATCCTAAAACTGAGTTAAATTGTAAGTTAGGTTTAGAAGTTAAATGAATGTCGAATGTATCCAATTTATGATACTTGCTAACAAAATTGATACACACACAGTTTCTTTTTCAATACAAATATGTTTTAATATACAAACAATAATACAACTTACAACAACAGTTATTACAAATAGTGATCTATGTACAAAAGATTTACAAACTTACAAACAATATCAAATCTTCTTTCTGGTATGGAACTTTCTTGGTGTCTTATCGAAGGTTTACGATGAGCAAATTAATTTTGAGTTGATGTAGATGCAATTCACTTAACAGGGAGCTAGCTGATCAATGTCTTCAAAAAGTACTAATGTCCGATGTGAATCCACTGAAGTTAAATGGTTTGTAATGTTCGAAACTTATAAATGTTCATGGTCAAATATCTGAAGTTCCCGATTAATAAGCATTATTACAATCACAGTTATAGCTTCTGAAGTTTATAACACACCAACTATAGCAAACCAATAATAAATACTGTCTTTTGGCGAGCCGCGTTGGCTATACTTATAGGCGTGAGGAGAGTTTCAGCTTACGTAACAATATACATAACAATACACACATGTATTGTTGATTCTTACACTCGAGAATCTTCTACAACTTTAGTGAATAGGCTGGAATTTCGCAATACAGACTTAACAGTATAAGTTGATACATTTCTAAATATAAATTTAACTTAAACAAACATCAATATTAAAATAGATATATAACAGTAAATCCGTCACAGGTTTAAAACTACTTAAGAGCATCGTGAGTGAAAACATCACTCTAATCCTAGCTACTCTGAGAATATAGTTGAATGCTGAAATATTTGTCCTCTATATAAAAAAACGTCACACCAAACATGCTCGCCCTTTCAGCCGTGGGGCGTTATAATGTGACGGTCAATCCTACTATTCGTTGGTAAAAGAGTAGCCAAAGAGTTAGCGGTGGGTGGTGATGACTAGCTGTCTTTCCTCTAGTCTTACACTGCTAAATTAGGGACGGCTAGCGCAGAATGCCCTCGTGTAGCTTTGCGCGAAATTCAAAACCAACAAACAAACGCTTTACGTGATGCTGGTTGGACTCTCTGACAAATTGCTGCAGTCTTGAAATGTTCCTCAAAATACTGATGTTAAGTATCTTCATTTATGCAACCCTTGGGACAAAAGGAAGACTGCCACTGATCTCAAGCATGAGATAAATGACCACATACCAAATGACAGAAAAGTGTCCATACCTACAGTATCAAGAGGACTCAACGAGAATGGAATATTTGGTCATGTAGCATTTAAAAAACCTTTACTTGGATTTCTGAATAGTCATGAGACTGACATTTGGTAAAAAGTACAAAAACTGGACTATTGATAATTGGAAAAGGGTGTTAAAGATGGATGATTCCAAGTTTGAAATATTTGGTTCAAAGCGTAGGTGGAAGAAAGGTGAAAGATACTTACTTCAATGCATAGCACTTACCATGAAGCATGGGGGAGGCAGTGTGGTAAAATAGATGAAATAATGGACCAGTGCAAGTACCATCAGAAACTAATCCATCATGGTATACTCAGTGGTTTGTGTATTATTGGTAAAGGATGCTACTACCAATAAGATAATGACCCCAAACACTCCTCCAGCCTATGCAGAAATTACTTAACTAAGAAAGAAGCTGCTGGAGTCATTGAAATGATGCAATTGCCTCAACAGAGCCCTGATCTCAGCCCAATTGAGCAGATCTTTGATTTTATAGATCAAAAACTTGTCAAATCAAAAGTTACTTCCAAAGAAACTTTATGGGAGTGTATTAGGGACAATTGGAGTAAAATCCCGAAGGACACTTTGATTAAATACTTTGCAACAATGCCTGAAAGATTGTCTGCAGTTATTAAAGCAAAAGGGGGACACACAAAATATTATTTGTTTGCTGAACTCAAACACTTCCACCAAGTTTCTGTTGTACTAAATATGAAGATTAAAAAAATTTGATGGTTCACCTGTGATTTACTTTCCATTGTTCTTTGAAAGTAGCCTGAAATCTAACTTTTTACTTTGTTCTAACACAGTATTGTATGTCTTGCCCGACTACACAAAACTTAAGAGGGGTGGTAATATTACGATCGGCAAAAACACTGACGTCAGTCTTAATGAACATCAAATGGCATTTTGGCAGAGTAGATCTAATCCTCTCAGTGAAACTTACAATGGCCCAGCAATGGATCATGAGTGAACCAGAAAATTGTACATTGTACAGTGACAATCATCAGTTTGTAAACAAAATGTGTATGAGGCATGAAGATAAACTCAAATCAACCAGAAACTTCAATAATACATTCATATCTGGAATTTCAGGAACATCTTTGAAGGAAGATTGCATAGCTAAGCACAGGAGGTCTAATCAGCATATTAGAGCAGAAAGAATTGATAGTTTTAAAAGTTATAATTAATTATTAACCTTCAATGATAAAGCCTTGATTGAAAGGTTATAATTAACTTATAATGATAAAAACCACATTTAAAGCAAGATAAGATTAATTAATTTTCCTGCTTTTAATTTGAAGTAATGAATAAAAATCAATAAGGAAATAAGTTTATCTTTACTGTCTGAGTTTTAGACTAAACTTAAGTAACTACTTATAACCATAGTAATTAGTAACTGGATGATAATAG